GGGTGACAGAGGTTATGATGGAAAGCCCTGCAGGTCGCAGGGGGGGGGGGGGGGTGGGGGGGGGCTGCTTTATATCTCAGCCAGCTCGGACCCTCTCTATATTGTCCCCCTTTGTCAGTAAACCTGAAAATGCAGCATAAAGAGCAAAAAAATAGAGCCTATATTCATTTGGATGAGCTTTGATATTACTGGATAATATTTTTAAAATAAATCTTTAAGAAGAGCAAACGCTTCCCGGTAACGACCAGTTAATCTGAAACTTAAAAAGGGGTTGAAAATATTTGAACTTCTGATCAGATATGTCAGATTACACTACTGACCGTATCAGAGAAAACTGGAGGCTTGTCTTTGCAGCCGGCCACGTCCACTATTCCTATTACGATCTGTGCCTTTAAAAGGAGAGAAACAGTCATTAATATAGCAATAAAACTCAAGAAAAACAATGCCGGCTGCTTATTATCGCTGTGAGAATTGTTCAAATGGAAGATTTTGGAGCGACTTTGCCCCCCCCCCCCCCCATAAAAGATCTTACTGGCTGGTAATTCCATACACACTGAACTTTGACTCCTGACCGTAATCGTCTGCTTTAATAGCAAAAGACTTGCAAAGTTAACTGAACAATAAACTCCATTATTTGAGACAGACGAAGCTGATAAGTGAGCAGTAAGGAAGATGATGGCCAAACGTAGGTGTCGCACAGATTTTTTTTCCTGAAAAGAAAACCCCACATCCACTAAACCCATGCAATAGCTGCTTCCCTTCACCTGCCATCTTGTTCTCCCTCTAATTTCAGTGAGTCTGACGGGAACCACAGCTCAGACGATGAGGCCAGCGCCATGGACGACACCCCCGACAAGCCGGAAGACGCCGCCGGCTCCACGGCCTCCGTCATCTCCGTCTCGGCGCTCCCCTGCAACCCGGGGGGCCAGCTCATCCTCAACGGCTCCGCCGGCTTCCTGGCGGCCTCCCAGCCGCTGCTCCTCAACGGGAACTCGCTGCTCTCGGGCGCCGGGGCTGGCGTCATCATCAACGGCCTCAGCTTGACCGACTGCCAGACGGTCACGCTGAGCCCCGTGGCCGCAAACCCTTCCCTGATCCTGAACGGGGCTCAGGTGATAGCCAAACACGCCGTTGCGGCGCCCGGGGCCGAGCGGGAGGTTTCGGAGGCCAAGCCCGCCGGCGTGCCCGTTTCCAGCCCCTCCGCCGCCGTCGCCCCGTCGCTGCGCACCAAAACGGAGCGCGGCGACGACGTGGACTTCTTCATCGTCTCCAAATCGGAGGGTGGCGGTCAGACGGTGTCCCCGCCCTCGCCCACGCACGCCTCGCCCACCAGTCTGCCGTCGCTGGTGCTGACGCAGAACCCGCAGCACCAGGAGGCCCTCGCCCTCCCGGCCTCGCTCTCCTCGGCGGGCATGATCATCTCCAGCTCGGCCGGGTCGCTCTGCGGCCAGCACCCGGCCTACGTGAGCGTCGCCCCCTCGGCCGGCTCTGCCCCGCAGGTCATCTCCTTGCCCCAGGTGGTGCCCTCCGTCCAGGGCGCGCCGGGGTCCCACCTGGTCCAGACGCCGACCTCCCAGTGCCCTCAGCTGGTGCCCGTGTCTCCGCTGGCCCCCCGCTTCCAAAGCCCCCAGACTCTCAGCGCGGGCGGCAGGCCGGCGCCCCCGCCAGAGGCCTCCGCCGCCGTGTCGGAATGCGCCACCACCATAGTCTCCATCTCGCAGCTGAACAACGCTCACCTCCCACAGCCGGCGATGCACCAGGGGGGGGATCAGAGCACAAACTCTACGGCCTCCCCTGTGGTGTCCGTGTCCTCCCCGGCTCAAGCCGCTCCTCAGGCCAAAGGCAGCTCCCCGGCGCAGATGGTCCCCCTGTCCATGCCCCAGCTGGTCCCCGTCTCCTCCATCCAGACCTCCTCCAGCATCTCGTTCCCCCAAGTGGTGCCCGCCAGCCCGTCCCTCTCCATCCCCTCGGCGGGGGTGCCCCTGCAGATCCTGACCTCGGCGGCCGGGGGCGTCCAGCAGAGCCCCCTCAGGATCAACCAGCTGAGGCCCATTCAGACCGTGGGAACTCCCACCGGCGCGGCCGCCCCCACCGTGCAGCTCCTGAATCCGGGGATCATTCAGCTGCCCTCCGCCGCCCCAGGTACGCCCCCAATCCAGCAGACATGCTCCTCCCACAGCGTAGCAGACGTGATTGGGTTGTGATATTTATGGTTTGATAGCTATTTGAAAAAAACAGCATCAGAAAAGCAGATGAGCAAAAAAGGAAAGGTTATCATTTTTACATGGAAAAAATAAACTGCTTATTAAACTTTAAAGATCAGGGTTCTGCCACGCAAATAAATATCTTTCTCTTTTGATATCAAATTGATCCCATGCACAACAAAAAAAAGTCTTGACTGCTGTCCTTTTTTTTTGCTGACTGTAGGAAACCTCCTCCTGGGTGGAAGCCCTTACCTGAGTGTGCAGCAGGGAAAGCTGATCTTGACCATCCCAGCGGGCATCCAGCTCACCAGCGTGCCCCTGAAACCGGTCCCAGATGCTTCGCCCGTCCTTTCCAATGGAATGACTCCACTTCTCAGCCCCCCCACCCCCCCCGTGGCCGCCCAGCCCGCGGCGGCTCCGGGCTCCGCCTCGGCCGGCCTGACCACGTCCCCTCTGAACTTTATCAACTCGTCCCCGCTGTACTGCACCCCGGAAACGGTGACCGCTGCCGGCGGCCAGGCGCCCGCCGTGGCCCCCGCCGCCCACGGCCTGGACCAGTCGGCGCCCCCCACCACGCTGGGCATGCTCACCCCGGAGAGCATGCTCACCCTCAGTCCCATGTACAGCGGCGTGGCCCCCAGCGTCCAGCTGTCCCAGCCGGCCTGGAGCCCCGTGCCCCTGTCCACCTCGGCCAGCCTGACTCTGTTCGACGTGCGCGGCGGTAAGGGCGACCTGCCCGTGGACCCGGCTCTGTTGGGCCTGCCCGGGGGGGAGTCGCTGCTCCTGGCCAGTCCCTCTCCGGATCGGGGCGAGGAAGCCGACTCGCCGCTGGGCGACCCGGAGGAGATGGACGGCGACTCGAAAATCCTCACCCAGCTCCAGTCTGTCCCTGTGGATGAAGAGCTGGGCTTGTAGTCTTCTTACAGGTGGGGCTGGTGACGACGTCTTAAAAAAACACACACACAGAAAACAACACTAGACGTTCTTATTTCGTTTTTGTGACCTGATTGTTAATCCTTAAGTACTATCGTGGTGCTGGCACAGTCGGGAAAGGTCCTCTGCAGCCTTTTACACCAGTGGAGGGGGGGGGCGGGTTTACATGGGACATTTACCTGCTGCTTCAACATCCAACTCTTCCGGCGTTTGACGAGGGAATGTTGCATCTCTGAGGTTTGGACCTAAATCTTTCAGTGCCTTGATTGGTCTGATCCACTCAGAAGAGAAGACGGGTACCTGCTCGGCCCACTTGAAGGCCTCTGGTGTCACTTCTGCCCGTTCATTTCAACTCTGAGCAAGGCGGACCAAGTTCGGCTGGGGAGGAGGTAGCTCGTTGTGGACGATCAGGCAAAGAGGACACATTGGAAAAATCTGTTTTCTCCCAGAACTAAACTCACATTCATCTATTTGGTTTTTCTCCTCATCCGACCCTCAGAATATGTAATTCTTCCCACACTCCTAAATTATAGAGAAGATAATCTTCATAAACCGAGGTAAGATAGGTTGATTTATATGTGAAACTTTCCATTATAGCTTTAAGGGCTATGCAGCAGTGTTTTATTATCGCAAGTGAGTTACTGAGTCTGGCTTGAAATTTGCAGGCTGACTGCATTTTGGTGGTAAATTGTTTGAATGACCCTCTACAGTCTTTAAGGAAGATGGAGGGGTACACTAGTCTAAAATATACATTTATATGTGTGTGTGTCATACAGGAATTAAAAAGGGTTATTGAAGGGGTTTACACTCTATGCAAAGCGTGTTTAGCTCTTTATAGGACACTATTGCACAAAGGCTTAGTCCAAAAGCCGGGACACTTGGGAGATAAAATGAAGCACGGCAGAGCATTACACTATATTAGCTGTGATCCCACAAAAGTGACTTTTTTTTGTTCTTGTCAAATGCAGATGAAATCTCAGTATATTGATACTGATAAGTGCCTTATTATAAAGCTGTCGTGTTTGATGTTTGAGGGATGGGAAAAAAAAAGACATTCTTACTTTTTTGTTTCTTATTATTTCAATGTAACCAACCAAATTTCTTGGCTCACTTCTTATTTCTTGAATGGCCACATTTCTATACCGGTGGTCAGTGAAACACGACGCGACGCCATCGGTCGGCGAGGCCGTTTGCTCGATCTCTTCTTTTGTTTGTATATTTTGCACATTTCACTCACACCATGTTTACGCTGCGCTGCCGTGTCGCCGTGGCCGCGGTGGGACTCGTGCCGTCGGTTCCGAGATCCTTTTCTTCAAAAAGGTTAAAGATGGAAGTCGGAGGAAAAAAAGGCGCCGATTTCCGCACTTGAGCCTGGAATCCCACGAGCCTCCTGCTGCCGTGGCACAGGTGGCGCGGAAACCTTTGGCCATTTATGGTACACAACTCTACACTTCAGTGTCGTATCTAGTTACAAAGATGGCCTGTGTTTTGGTTTTTTTTTTTAAATGTTTGTTTGTCTCTTTTGTACATTTAATCTATTTAAAGCATGTACCAATCAGTTTCTAGTTTTGAGTGGAGAAAAGGAGTGTTTGTGGAAAGAACACAAATAGGAAATGGCCTTAATGTTGACTGCTATGGTCACGTTATTATGCAGAGTTTTCACAGTCTCAGACTACAGGTGTTAACCAGTTTTAAAGTTATTCATTTCCATTTTGAATGATGTCCAGCTCTTTGTATACCATTCAATGTCTTGAGAAACCAGCGTTGGCCTGAATTTTGTTATTACAGAATCACCATGCGGCTGGCTGTAACCTCACCAGACAATTTCAATCAGTTGGGGGTAAAATGGTGGCGCGTCCTCATTTCTTACCAAAGTACCAAAGAGCTTTCACTTGTTGCGCCTTATTATATTGTAGCCTGAGACTTGTTTTAACTTCTTCGTGCACAGCAAACACAACTCTGGACTTAACCAAAGATTTCGTGTGTTGATTGAATTTTTTTAATTGTTTTGAAAGGGATCATTTGTGTTTGTCAATCAAGGTTCTTTTTTTTCTCATTTTTGTATTCAAATGCATTCTATTTTTTATATTACATGATATTATAATAAACAACATTTACAAAAAAAGGCTGTATTTTCTGCCATAAGCACCTTGTTTTTCGATCTGCAGATCTTTCTGGACATTAAAACTATTTGTCTGGGGATTTTTGCCTCTAATTTGGCAAGTAAATTTTATTCAAATGCATTCTCCTCCATCCATGCGCTTTCTCTTGTTGGTACAATCACAGAGGTCTAAAATGTGTGTGAAGGTGTTCAAGCATGTGTTTGTACAAGAGAAGGAGGATGAGCGGTGTGTTATTACAGCCCTGATGTTCTCGGGTTACCTGTGCCGGGGCATGATGAGTAATACTAAACACACATGCAGGTCCACCTCGTTTTTGTTCATCCATAATGTTTTAGGGAGGCTCCAGCTCTCTGCCCCACATATGTCAGAGAAGCCGTGAGAAAGGTGCCTCCACTCACGTCTCAGGACCCTGCAGACATCACGGCGATGATCTTCACGGCGGAGCAGGTCATCTGCGTTTGCGAGGTCCTTCTGCAGGGCGGCTACATGGACCGTCTCGCCGGCTTCCTCCGCACTCTTCCTCCCTCGTCCCCCACCTCGGCCTCATGCCTCGGGGAGCTGGAGAGCGTGCTGAAAGCCAAAGCGGCGGTGGCCTTTCACCAGGGGCGCTTCTCGGACCTCTACGCCCTGCTGGAGGGCTTCCACTTCTCCCCCCGCAGCCACCCCTTCCTGCAGCAGCTGTGGCTGCGAGCCCACTACGTGGAGGCCGAGAGGCAGAGGGGCCGGCCCCTGGGGGCTGTGGGGAAGTACCGCGTGAGACGGAAGTTTCCCCTGCCGCACACCATCTGGGATGGAGAGGAGACCAGTTACTGCTTCAAGGTTGGTGAATCCTCTATTCGATAGCAATAACCTTTTCAAATCTGCAGGTTTCATGCTGCTTTACCTTAAGCCTAATAGCATCTCTACAGGTCCATTTGCTATTAAAGCATTTTTTGCTTAATATCAAATACTCTGCCTGCTCTGGTTTCACATGGGAATTTGATTATTTTCATTGTTCTGTAACATTTTACGGGGGGAAGTAAGGCAAAAGATGCTACTTACTTGTTGTGTTTAGGAGGCTGTCTGACTTTTTCTACAGCTGAGAGAGGCTCACTAGTGTAGAGCTGGCAACTGAAAAGAAAGAGACCAAATGTGTGACTAAAACGTGTAACACATCTCACATATAATGGTAGCACAAAAGAAGGGGTAAGAGCTCTTTCACCTCAGAGGCTAATAACTTAATTACAGGCCTAACGAACAGCTCACCTTCCTTTTTAAGCCCGAAGGGACTAACCTCTCAAGCACCAAGAGTTTAATTACAACACCAGGTTCAATAGAAGAAACACAACAAAAAACAAACCTCCTCCTTACTTTTGAGTTGAAAGTTTAAGTTTGACTTTATTCAAGCTAATTCCTAAAAACAGGAGAAGTCTCGGAGTATACTCAGGGACTGGTACCATCGTCAGCCGTACCCCTCCACCCGGGAGAAGCGGGAGCTGGCGGAGGCCACCGGACTCACGGCCACCCAGGTCAGCAACTGGTTCAAGAACCGCCGGCAGAGAGACCGGGCCACGGACGTCGCCAGGTCAGACGGGGTCGCAAGTCGCATTTGGTGGGGTCGAAGGCGTAAATTACAACTTCGTTAAGTCCCTTTTCATACAAAGGGGAAAGTTGTCATGGTGATACGGGGGTAAAAATCTGAGCTAAAGGTAGACTCACGCGGGAGGCGGAGGGATACTTAATGCGCCGGGAAACGACCTACATGTCGTCACCAAACCGGATAAGATTAAAAAATGAAATTGAATTTACCAATAAGTCGGACAGTTTCATATACGCAGAACAGGGAAACGTATCAAGTTTGAGGTGAACTTTTAGGCTGTTACGCTGGCAGACCATAATGTCCTGATCCCTGCAAACGAGATCACTAAAGAGTAACACAACGCTTTTACACACGTGTACGTGCATTCTTAGTGAGAGTTTTTGGTTAGTTTAAATATCTTTAAGAAGATTCATTTTAATCTGAGGATACTGATGAAATTGAACACCCCTGCCCATCTGTCGACGGCCCAACAGCCCCCTCTTGTGTTGATTTTTTTAAGTAAAATGTACTATGCAATGTGAATTTTTGTCTTAATTTCCTCATTTCTTCTTTCAGCTTTCAAACGCAAATCCCTGGAGGAGCCTCAGAATTCTACCTGTCTTCTGACAATGATGTTTCTCCTCAAGCCAGCCCTCGCTCCCACCAGCAGCGCCGCCCTACCCCTCCGCCCCTCTTCCACCCACCGCTTCTCCACACATCAGGAGGTCATCCACACATCTAACTGGACTTACCCAGCCCTTTAAAAAAAAAAAAAATTCTGCATTCTGATTTTCTAAAGTCCTTCAAAATTCATTACCAAAACATTATTGGGCGGATGCTGTTCAGGACTCAGATCATCATTAAGGACAGACATTGAATTAAGCGAGGTGTAACTGGATTAAATGCATCTTATTCTTCATGTGTGTGTAACGCGTGCACAAATGGTGTTGGGACATTGATAACAAACCGGGTTATTAACTTCTTTATGGGACTGTGTTGGTGAACAGTGTGTTTCAGTGCTTTGGGTTCCACAAACGTTGCCTCAGACGATTTAGAGCTGCACAAACTCGTTTGAACTTCATTGTAAACTTGAAAGTGGCTTAAAAGATCATATTTTGGATTCATTTTTACTTTAATATTCATCATCATGATGTCGGAGCACCTGAAGCGGAAAAAAAGAAAAAAAAGCCAAGCTGGAGATTGGAAGGCGTTTCACAGGCACTCGCAGCGACTCGGGCAGCCCATCTGAAGACCGGCCATCAGATGAACAGGGTCCACCATCGGTCAGGGCGATGGGGTTTATTCTTCTCTTCACAGTACCAAAGCAAGCATATTTATTTGGAACTTGCACATTTCTCCACCCATTCCTCGTGAACAATGTTCCTTGGCTCAGACGGTCACTTTAATTAAGACTCTGAATCCACTTGAGACGCCCCTTCAGATGAGTGTCCAGCTCCTCCAGCGGGGGACAAGTCTTTGGTCATTCTTCCAGTGCATCTGGGTCATTTTAGGTTGTTGGGCGTGGACCTCCCACACAGGTGTGTGCTCAGAGGCTGAGGTATTCTGCCACGAACACAGCCATGATCTTTGTGAGGTTCTCCACGGTGGGACGGTGCATGTTCTCCTCCGTGTCCTCCAGTGTGTGCCAGAACTGAGGGAAGGGGGTGGCGATTACATGCAGCACGGGGACTCCTGAACGGGACAGAGGACAGGCAAAGCTCAGAGCCACATCATAACAGGAAGCCTCTGTCAGTCAGAAACTGAAGAACCTCCCTCGGTATTTACAGTGGGAGCCAACAGGGGCAGACGCCTGGGGGCTACTCGCCTCTGTGGAGGAAGGGGATGTGGTCGTCCTGCACGGGTCCCAGGTAGACGTCCTTCCTGAAGTAGGTCTGCTCGGCGGGGTGAGACGCCAGCAGGCCCTGGCGATGCAGCCGTTTTTCTGGGGAGGAGACACAGTGTGGGCATGCTGGAGGGAGGAATGGGGTCCCCTCCTGGTGGCGTCAGGGCCAGCGCATACCTGCAGAGATCAGGCGGTCGAACCAGCGCACCGTGTTGTCAAAGTGGTTTGCAATCAGCGGGTCGGGACCACCCAGAAGGTCCAGCAGCACGAAAAGGTCCTTGAAAAAGAATCGAGTGAAATACGAGAAAACCTAGTTGGGGTTTTGGATCTTCTTTAAAGTGGAAATAAAATAAATAAATACATCTCACAGGTCAAATTGACCAAATCTTGATTAAAAGATTCCACGAAAAAAAACAAGAAAACAATAGAGGCTAATAGTTCAGATGGTTAAATCTGATCATTTACAGATGTTTGACTCTCTCAGTCTTTAGTGGGAATTTTGTTATGCTGATGCAGGCTGACTTCACAAGATTAGAAATTGAAGCCAAAGTGAGTCCTGCTCACACGTCTGAGTGACAACGCTGAGGTTCTGGTTTCTTAACATTGCGCTCCATCTCTAGAGGGCACCAAAAGGCAGGAGCCGCTTGGATGGGGATGCGGTCTGTGGCACCATGACTCTGCAGATCAACAGAGCTGGGAACGGGGATTAGTCAGCATCCACAGACTTTGTTATTTTGGATGTGATGTACCACAGATTCAGACCCCTGTCCAAACATGTCCATGTACATTCTTTTACTACGTTTATTTTACGTTTCCACCTAAACCGCGTGTGTGCTGGGGCAGGCTTTGGGGTGTGGCGGTGCGTTCGTGTCTCACCACAGCCTGCAGCGCCGTGGCGTGAGGGGCGGCGGCGTGGTGAGGCGTCCTGGCCATGAGCTCTGCCAGGTGACGGGAGCCGTACAGCGAGTCGGTGGCCGTCCACTCCTCGAACGACTCCTCGCCGTCAAAAAAGACCAGCTGCAGGGTGACGGGGAGTTTCTGGGCAGAGAGAGGAAAGCTGGGAGGCGTCGCAGCGGAGGGCCGGGCTAACTGGTCAGCATCTCGACCGGATTCGGACACACGTAAAGCAGAAGGCATCAAAAGGCAGCACACACCTGCTGTTTGAAGGATCTGAGCTGCGCGTCCAGAGAGGCGGCGAGCTCCAGGATCATGGCGCAGGGCACCGCCGAGTCGCTGGCCCCCAGGAACACCCTCTCGGGGGCCCGTGGGTCCGGGGGCAGGACCTTGGAGTCGTAGTGGCAGGCCAGAAGGAGCCTGCGCGGGACTGCGGGATCCAGGGTGGCCACGATGTTGGTGAAGGTCACTTGGCCGCGGGGGGTGGGGGACTGGAAGGAGTCCAGGTCTATGGACCAGCCGGCAGACAGCGAGGACAGGGTGGAGGTGATGTGCTGAAACAGAGCAGGGTAGAGAAAAAAAATGAGGGGAGGGTGTAAAAACTGGAGGAATTCACACCCACACACACACACACACCTGCTGCACAGCCAGGCTGCCCGGCGTCCCCGGGAGTCTCTCTATTAGGATTGGCCGCAGGTGGGTTTCCCACAGGCGGGTGCCGTCCACCTGAGAGGCCAGACGGCGGATTTGAGCTGGTGAGGACTTGCTGGGTTTGTGGGACAGCTGAAGGAGTGGAAAAAAAATAGAAAAGATTAGCGATGACAAAGTAGGATGACAATGACTGCAAAAGAAAGTTAAGTATGATCCGATTCCGTCTAGATTGTCAACCTCGCTCCAGATCAGTTGCTGTTTTTATCCTCCAAAAGCTAAATGGATACAAGCAGCAGCAGGAAGAGGCCAGAATAATGAACTATACTGACTTGTTTTGAGGTTTAATTAAGCGCTTCTTGCAAAAGCATGTTGTCCCTGGCTCATTTCAGTTTCTCATGTTGAATAAAAAATATAGAGCCTTCACTAAAAACCATTTAATTGTAAAGACACGTGATACATCAGAGGTAGAATAAACTACATTTTATGGATCCGGTTTACAAAAGAGCATACTTTCAGTAGATTAACTCCCTGTGGGCTGAAATCTGAGGAACTCTGAAGATCAGATGACGCATTTCTAACAGAAGCTGTAATATCTGAGTAGACTGGTGGAGGTTTTCATTGTAGCCTCCATGGGAATAGTAACAGCTGCTGCCAAAACTAAACGCTCCAAACCAAACATCCAAAACACCGTTCCATTTCTTACACATTCAGTCACGGTCTGTGAACAGGTCTGTGGGTCCTCTCACCCTGTCTTTGGTCAGATCTGCGGCCGGGGCGCGGTTGACCGCTCTGGCGGCCGTGTCGTTGGACAGGTAGACTCCCAGAACCACGGCCAGCATCAGGACACCCAGCAGGCAGAGCAGCAGCACCCGGGCCCGGGGCATTCGCAGCCCGCAGCCGGGGACGGAGCCTCCGCAGCCGGGGACGAAGCCCTGCTGCTGCTGCCCGGGCTTGTACCGCCGGCTGGTCCTGGACATGGCCCGCGGGAGGTGGTCTTGGCTCGGTCGGTCGGTCCCTCTAACTGCTACGTGTCACAGCCGACTCGTGCTGCAGCGCGAGAGGGGAATTCACCCCGGAAGCGGAGATAAGCAGACCCCGGGGGAAACGTCTGCCTCAACACAGGCGTCCATCGTTGCTCTTTGCACGTCCGTCTGCAGACGTCCCACGGCTCCGTGGATGTCCTGCCACCCGGCTCACCGGAAGCATGGCTGACTTTGATGAAGTTTGATCGGACCGGAATTAAACGTCCCAAATTGTAACCGGTTCGTCCAGTCTAAGCGCAGCTTCTCTCATCCAGAAACAAGAAACTCTTTACGCTTTGTAAAGTTTCTATCCAGTACTGTCAGAAAGAGAGACAAATTAAGCACACGGGAAGCATGTCACACCTGTCCTGTCACTGAAAACTAATACAAAAAACGAAGAATGTGGTCATTTAGGAATGACGGGACACCCTCGTATTTGGTGGCCACACTTCTTTGGTGTTTTTAGAATTGGTTTCAGAAATCTCCTGCGGCACCCTACTGTCACCTAGCGGCCGGAGGAGGAACTTCATCTAAGTTCAACGTAATCAAGCCAGTAAAGATGCTAAGGGAATTTGTGAATTTTAACATTTAGATGTAAATTATGACAAGTACGTTGATTGTCAGTAGTTAATTACAATTTATTTTTCACATATAGATTTCTTAAAATAAAATTATTTGCATGGTTTATTTTTCGATGTTTTTCTGAGCAAAACTGGTGAATCCAGTAGTTAAAGTAATGAAAGCTGCTCTGATTGAAAGTTCAAGACAAGGCAAGTTTATTTGTATAGCACATTTCGTGTATAAGACCATTCAAAGACAAGAACCTTTTCCATTTGATGATCTTCTGCGTGTCTTTACTATGACAGATACAATACAATAAGGCCTGTGCCCTGACTGTGTTATCGATAATATTATCAGTCCTGACAATGAAAAAGGCAAAGAACCCGAAGTATAACAACTCACTCTTCTGGCCCGCGAGATTAGATAACAGGAAGTACCAAAACAATATTTTCAGACCTGTGATTGGTCCACAGGGATGAAGTCTCTCGCTGTTCATTGGTCTAAATGTGAGTCCATCTCCATCCGGAAGTGCTCTCTTCCTAGATATTCAACGTTCGCGGGACTTTCGGTAGTGTTTCGCGGCATTTCTTGCAACGGTGAACAGAGTCAGTGTTGTCTGCCCACCTTGATAGTGTAGAGGTTCAGCTTGTTCTCTGAAGACACGGGACACCTCGTACTTTTTCAGGATGCATGTGATCAAGAGAGGTGAGTTGTGTTTTGTTTTAACGAACAGCTTAACATGGGTGGTGCTTGTAGCTTTTGTGATATCATCTATCAGGCTGATCCCATTTGACTGTTAAATACTGGCGACTAAGTTGCAATAATGCGTTTTTTTAAATCTACATAAACATGCATTTTACAGCTGATTCAACGAGCTAATATGACTTTGCACAAACTTCTACTGAAGGCGGTTGACTGCTAGCTAACGGTGGTTAACTTTTGGGCTACAGTCAGTGAACCAGACTATTTTGAAAACTAAAGTAGGTGTGAGTTGTAATAAGACCTTCAGCACTAGCATAAATGTAATGTTGGTGGTTTAAACGGCTTCTGTGTGTTTTCCCTGTGTTTATGAACCCGCCTGTAGGTCTTTGTTAGAGATGGCGCCAAAACTCCAAAGGCCCACCTGAGTCAGTGCAGCCCACAGTCAGCCCTGGCTAGGCACGAGTCTGTTTCTGCTTAAACTAATTATTACTTGTCATGGGCGGTTATCAAATACATAGTGTTGCTTCCTGGTCTCGATTGTCTGGGCGTGTTTGGGCTCCATGTTACATATTGTGGGCAGGAAAAGCAATTTTACCGCGTTACGTCACTATAACTGCGCCAGGCGGGGTTGTTTGAAAACGTCGCTTGTCATGACAAAGCCCGAGATGATTCACAGTGTCTGACAGGTGATTTTGTTTCCATCTTTGTCTCCCAGACGGACGCCAGGAGCGCGTCATGTTTGACAAAATCACCTCCCGCATCCAGAAGCTCTGCTACGGGCTCAACTCTGACTTCGTGGACCCTGCTCAGATCACCATGAAGGTGATCCAGGGTCTGTACAGCGGCGTCACCACCGTGGAGCTGGACACGCTCGCCGCCGAGATCGCCGCCACGCTGACCACCAAACACCCCGACTACGCCATCCTGGCGGCGCGGATCGCCGTGTCCAACCTGCACAAGGAGACCAAGAAGGTGTTCAGCGAGGTGATGGAGGACCTGTACAGCTACGTCAACCCCCTGAACAAAACCCACTCCCCCATGGTTTCCAAGGCGACCCTCGACATCGTCCTGGAGAACAAAGACCGCCTCAACTCGGCCATCATTTACGACAGAGACTTCTCCTACAACTTCTTCGGCTTCAAGACGCTGGAGCGCTCGTACCTGCTGAAGATAAACGGCAAGGTGGCCGAGCGCCCGCAGCACATGCTCATGCGGGTGTCGGTGGGAATCCACCGGGGGGACATCGACGCCGCCATCGAGACGTACAACCTGCTGTCGGAGCGGTGGTTCACCCACGCCTCGCCCACCCTCTTCAACGCCGGGACCAACCGGCCGCAGCTGTCCAGCTGCTTCCTGCTGGCCATGAAGGACGACAGCATCGACGGCATCTACGACACCCTGAAGCAGTGCGCCCTCATCTCCAAGTCGGCCGGCGGCATCGGCGTGGCGGTCAGCTGCATCCGCTCCACCGGCAGCTACATCGCCGGCACCAACGGCAACTCCAACGGGCTGGTGCCCATGCTGAGGGTGTACAACAACACGGCGCGCTACGTGGACCAGGGCGGCAACAAGAGGCCCGGCGCCTTCGCCATGTACCTGGAGCCCTGGCACTTCGACGTGTTCGACTTCCTGGAGCTGAAGAAGAACACGGGCAAGGAGGAGCAGCGAGCCCGGGACCTGTTCTACGGCCTCTGGATCCCCGACCTGTTCATGAAGCGGGTGGAGAGCAACCAGGACTGGTCCCTGATGTGCCCCGACGAGTGCCCGGGGCTGGACGAGTGCTGGGGGGAGGCCTTCGAGGAGCTCTACACCCGCTACGAGAAGGAGGGCAAGGTGAAGAGGGTGGTGAAGGCCCAGCAGCTGTGGTACGCCGTCATCGAGTCCCAGACAGAGACGGGCACGCCGTACATGCTCTACAAGGACGCCTGCAACCGGAAGAGCAACCAGCAGAACCTGGGCACCATCAAGAGCAGCAACCTGTGCACGGAGATCGTGGAGTACACCAGCAAGGACGAAGTGGCGGTCTGCAACCTGGCCTCCGTGGCCCTCAACATGTACGTCACCCCCGAGCGGACGTACGACTTCAAGAAGCTGGCGGCGGTGACCAAGGTAATCGTCAAGAACCTGAACAAGATCATCGACATCAACTACTACCCGGTGCCCGAGGCGGCGTCGTCCAACAAGCGCCACCGGCCCATTGGCATCGGCGTGCAGGGGCTGGCCGACGCCTTCATTCTGATGCGCTACCCCTTCGAGAGCCCCGAGGCGCAGCTGCTCAACATCCAGATCTTCGAGACCCTGTACCACGCGGCGCTGGAGGCCAGCTGCGAGCTGGCGGCCGAGCTGGGGCCCTACGAGACCTACGCCGGCTCGCCGGTCAGCCGGGGGGTCCTGCAGTACGACATGTGGGACAAGACGCCCACGGACCTCTGGGACTGGGCGCGGCTGAAGGAGAAGATCGCCCGGCACGGCGTGCGGAACAGCCTGCTGCTGGCGCCCATGCCCACCGCCTCCACCGCCCAGATCCTGGGCAACAACGAGTCCATCGAGGCCTACACCAGCAACATCTACACCCGCAGGGTGCTCTCCGGCGAGTTCCAGATCGTCAACCCCCACCTGCTCAAGGACATGACGGAGCGGGGGCTGTGGAACGAGGACATGAAGAACAAGCTGATCGCCAACAACGGTTCCATTCAGGTAGGCCCGCTCGCCTTTTTTGACAAGAACGGAGAGCTCTTTTGTTTGGTCTGTCACAAAAAACGGCTGATATTCTTTTGGCAGGACATCAGCGAAATCCCCGACGACCTAAAGCAGCTGTACAAGACGGTGTGGGAGATCTCTCAGAAAACCGTGCTGAAGATGGCGGCCGACCGCGGCGCCTTCATCGACCAGAGCCAGTCCCTGAACATCCACATCGCCGAGCCGAACTACGGGAAACTGACCAGCATGCACTTCTACGGCTGGAAACAGGTGAGCGGGCGCTGCGGGGCAGCGGGTGGTGTCCAGGCAAAGGCTGGGAGAAAATAATAAAACAAACAAAAACCTGTCCACTCACCAGGGCCTGAAGACGGGGATGTACTACCTGAGGACGAAGCCGGCCGCAAACCCCATCCAGTTCACCCTGAACAAGGAGAAGCTGAAGGAGGAGCAGACGGCGAAGGCGCCGGAGGAGGAGGTGAAGGAGCGCAACACGGCGGCCATGGTGTGCTCTCTGGAGAACAGAGACGACTGCCTCATGTGCGGCTCCTAGAGGCTCCACAGCAGCACTTAACAAATCCAGCGCGCCTCTCAGACTGTACAGTAGTAATTTTTTATCAATATTTTGTCAGCCTTGGCAGAAGATGCCGCAGCTGAATGGATTTTAAGCCATGTTATAGTAATAATAAAGTTTACCTTGAAAAAATAATGTCATCTCTGAGGAAAAGAAATCAGCCACATTTAAATGACTATTTATGTTCCCATTTCCAACACATCTTGGAATACCACACTTAAAATTTGTTTTTGTTTTTTTTAAGTATAATTTATAGCTCAGGCTCCATTCTCAGTTAAGCGCAACAGTAAAGGAGCTGAAATCCTTTAAAGCCCACAGAAGAATCGGAGACCGAATACTCTTATAGTTGGTTTTTATTTTTTTTAGAAAATAATGAAAACATAATTTACACTTTTAAATGTACAAGTTATTACAACCCAAAGAGAACAACACTTTGCTCCTGTGCCTCTGCCACATGCAGAAGGCACCGACACCAAGAGGAAAGTTGGAACCAGAGAGGGAAACGAGTGGAATAATCTAAATCAGTTTGTACAGAAATCAGAGGTAAAACAGCATACACAGATAAGACACAGTACCCTCTTGAGATTTTTCACTAGTCTGCAACAGTGGCCAGCGCGTTTAAAAAATAAATTATAAAAATATTTAACATCTAAAGAACAAAAACCTAGTCATACAATATTCATATCGTAATGCATAACTGATTTGTTCAGCAGAGGGTTTGTGTATGATTTAAATAGCTTAAAATTATACATAATATGAACATGATATATAGATATATAGAGAGAGAAAAAGCAGGAAACCTTTCACAAAGCAAACTAAAGATTAAGACTCAGGAAAATCACAGACACACCTGCAAAGCTGCGCATGGCTGAAAGAGCCCACAGGAAGAGTCACAGGAGTCCGTCTCACTGCAGGTCAGGGCCGAGGCCGCCCCCGGACTTATGACAACGTCTACAGAACAGGCTGCGAACAGCTGGCACCACGGATAGCGCCAACAATTTCAACGTTTACTTTTCCAGTTCAACAAAGTAAAAAAAAAAAAAAAAAGTATCACTTGTTTTCTTGTCTGAATTAAAGAAGGTATGTTTAGCGGAGATTTGTTTAAAAAAACAAACAGTCACAGCGTTTGCATTTCGAGTTCCATCATCTTTTCCGGAAAAACATTAAAGGGATGCTGAAAGTGGCTTCAGCGGCTGATGATGCGCCTTTAGACTGCAGCGTCACCCCTCCCCATCTGGTGATGTAGTGTCATTAACAGCGTCTGAGGGAGGAACCTGAGCGGGTTGGAAAGTTCAAAGAGGGAAAGCCTCTTTTTCAGGGTACAGGAAAAGCCGGTGTACCGATCTGAACCAGGCGCACTTCTGTAGGAAAAATAGCTTTAGTAGACAAGGTGGATTTCAGCTGTAGAAACCGTGTAATTTTCATGTGGGTTCATGACAGAAAACAGAACTCCTCTCACACACACATACACACACCCTGGTTCTGATATGAAGAGGGTTTGTGGTCAAATGAAGTCGTGTCCAGTAAACGGTCCCTGTAAACACACGCTGGTCAGGAATAGGTCCACTCTCTGAGGAATGAAATGTGTTCGATGAGGAGCTCGGTGCAAATGGCAGGCTCAGCTGTCACTGGAGTCCCTCCAACAGCAAACTATCTAAACAGGGTTGCAAAATTTGGTGCCACAAACTAAGGGCGTGTTGCCTGGCAACCAGCAGGGATTGCAAGGAGCTGCAAGTGGCCGAAGCTTGTGGCGGTTTTAATGTCAGGCAGGTGACGTTTTCCTAAAGTACATCACGGAGGCGGTGAAAGCCTTATCTTAGGAAGCACTTTGCTCTTTCAAAATAAAATAATTACAAATTAATTCACAAACCTGCAGCCTCAGTGTGACGCAGTAAGGTGCCTACCGGCCGTCGCATCCAAAGCTCCAAAAGAAAGAAAGGAGGAAAATAAAAACAAAGCTTAAAATGTCACAACAATTTCAGAATTACAATTTCTGTTAAGACGTAAAAGTAAAAACGGATCCAGCGTGTTGGATCTGAGATGATAGGGCACTGCTGGGAACAGGGGGGATTAAAAAATGAGCTCTCTCCGCTCTGATCGACGCTCGATGGCTTGTTTCACGCGCGAGGGCCACAGAAAAACACTTGTGGCCCAAAGGTTCCATTTTACAGTAAACAGCTTTGTTCGTCACTTTGTTTTCACGCACGTCGCACACAGAAACACACCTTGAGCACAAACACTACACAACTGCCACGCTCCTGTCTTCTGTACCGACTCTCTTTTACACAAAGCCGGTAAAAGCTCTTTCAAATGGTGGGAACTGTACATCTCCAGCAGCAGGTCTGTAGAGCTTCCTTTAATTTTAGTGCATTGTGGGAGATGCGGTTTGTAGTGAGTTTTCTTTTTGGCTGATAGGCTGCAGGAACAGTATTAGGCCTCTCCAGGTGAAGTAGTGCTCTCTAAAACAGTCAGGGTCTCCTGTTCACTCCTGGCATAGTAGCAAACTCGTACAGTTTAGAAAAATAAACAGGCTCAGAGCACAGGGCGGGGGTGGTGGTGGGGGTCTCCACTCAGACTCTCTGGGAGTGTTGCATTTCTTTTTAAAAAAATCCAGGTTTAAGGCAGTCCAGTGGAAGCTGATGGAGGTGACATTATTGTGTCCTGCTGCCACTCTGAGTGCAAGGAATCATGGGTACTGAAAGCTTATTAATGCCCTGCTGGGCATTACTCCCTGCAGACCTCAGCAGCTGCCCGTCACTCCCTCTGCGAGCTGCCCCTGTGCGTCAGAGAGTGGGGCTCGTGGTCGCTCCCGGTCTTGTTGAGGCTGGTAAACAGCACGCTGAACTGGCGCAGCTGCTCACTGGCCGTCTGACTCTCCTCCTGCAAGCGCTGGTTGTTCTGTCTCAGGTTGGCCATCTCTGCCAGCAGAACCACTTTATCCTGCTTCTCCTGGTTGAGAGGGAGACATCCGCGCGTTAAAGGGCCGTTCGGGGCTTTTTAGGTCTGAAATCAAAACAGGTAGAGACTCTCACCCGCTCCAGGTCGTTGTTAAGCTGTTTCAGCATTACCTCCAGGTGGTTTAGCCGGCCCGATAAGTCGTTGGGCACCTCATCACTGCAGACACACACATCACATTACACAGATTCAAAAGGGGCCGGGCAGAACCCCCGTAGAATAAACCAGTCCAGCTGCTCACACAATGATCCGGCTAGTGGCCGGCTGAACAACCAGACACTCCCACCAGGTGGCAGCGGAAGGATCTAAAAACTGAGAACCTACACCTACAAGTCCGGTTTGTTTTGGATCCATCACAGTGGGTCTGGACCTACCCGCTGAATGTGGGTGTGGTGCGTGGCGTCTGAGGAGTTTGAAAATGGAGCGGGCTGCTGACTGGCCTCACGTCGGGGCCTCCCACCTGGGGCTCCGTCAGGGAGAAGAGGGACACTGCTCTTTGGGCTGTGCAAAAAAACACACAACCACAAGTTCAACAAGGCTGCTTGAGGGAGTCTTTTTTGCTTATTTGGGACAAATGCTGGCCCAGAAAACAAACGAAAGGCTAGCGTTTGCAGATGCAGACCCAGACTTTTTGGTTCTTTCCCATGGGAGGTTTCACAGCCGGCCACATTGATCACACAGACTAATCTCAATGAATCGCTCCGGTCCTTACCTTCGTAGGCTTTAGCGGCGTTCACCAGGCTTGACCACTCCAACCCATAGGCGGTGTCAGGGAGGGGCATCAGCCCCGGGTCCAGCCTCCTCAAAGGGGGAACCTTGTCTCGGACTTCTGTCAGGGACAGCTCTGAGGCTGACAGAGGCACTGTGGAGGGGAGAGGAGCAGAGGTCAGTATGGGAGCACCGGCTGAGCTGTGGAGCCTCACGGCGGCGTGACGCTTACTCTTCTTGCCCTGAGTGTGGTTGGAGGAGACAGCGTGGCGGCGCGTGGGCAGCGTGCAGGTGAACAGCACGTCGGTGGGGTTGGACTGGTTCTCGGAGCAGGCGAAGCTGGCATCTCTGCGCCCGCTGCAGAGCGACTCGTCTGAGAAGGTGCGCTGCAGGGAACGCCTGGGAGACTGCGGGGGGGAGGGGAGGGAGAGGTCAGCGCTGCCCTGGTCCGGGTCGGGCTGCTGGAGGCGGGGGACCCTCACCGGGTCTCTCTGGGGCGTCTCTCCGGGGTTGTCCATGATGATCAGCTTCTTCAGGTCGTCTTCGATGGTGCTTTTGTGCGTTCGGCGCGGCGAGCGCAGGTCTCTCAGGGACGCTCTGAGTCGAGGCTGTCCAAACACGTTCTTTGAATTTGTGTCCACCTGTCTGAGGAGACGAGAAAGGAGCAAATGAGGTAAGAATGACAGTATGATGGCAGGATTTCTGCAGGCAGAGGAAGAGTGGAGGGCGGCGCTCTCGGCCTCACTTCTTGCTGCTGTTGCTGTCGGAGCTGGAGGCTGTGTTTGTGTTTGAAGGTGACGGGCTGGCGTCTTCTGCATGCCGGCCACTCGGTCTACTCGTCTTCCCGTAGAAGGCCTTGGGGGCAGAGCTGGACAAAGGGGTGGAGCTCATCTGAGCTGAAGTCGGTGTTGTCGTGGAGGCCCGGACGGGCCGGGCTTTCTCGGCCGTTGGAGTTTTGTAGCCCTGTGGCGTGTAGGCCCTTGATGGATGGACAGATAGATGCGTGGTTAGCGGAAACATTCGAACAAAACTCCGTCACTTGAGCTGAAGGTTGACTTTAGAGTTGGCTGGAAAGTTGCTCTGATTTATTCGCACTGCTTATCTTCATTTTTTTATATATTGTGCTGTCCGGTCACCAAAGATACGCCCTGCATGCAGCAGATGGCCCTTCTACTACAAAGCTTAATCATCTTATTCAGCTTCCCAGCTGTGAAGCGTGCTCCAAAGCATCCGCTGAAATGTCTCTAAGCCGCCAAATGAAAGATTTTCCTCTGCAAGACAAGCTAATGAAGAGCTATAAAACCTGATCCAGGGGCTCTATAAGCAATCTTTCTGCTGTATTTTGCTGTGCCTTCTGCCTCTGGACCCTGCTCAGCCCTCTGCTGTAATCATATGTATCATGCGGTGATGGTCAGACGCTGTCTGCTGCATCAGGATTGATGACAGCTGGGGGTTAAACACAGATTGTTTTAATCCTGCACAGAGTGATCAAAGCCTCTGTATGATTTGTTCATTACATGACTGCGAGTATTTGTGAGGGAGGATGTTGGCACTAACATGGCCATAAGCACTGATCTCATGATTATTTGCGTGTTTCACAAGGCTTAGGCTGGCATAATCGTTCATGTTCAAAACACATTTTTGTTGTATCAGACTATTGATCTGCCAAAGATATGTCAAGTGCTGCAGGTCAGAATCACTCACCAATGTCTCTCTTTAGTAGATTCCCTTAAGTTAGCAGCACTACATTACAATGTCAGCTCCGTCATTAAAGAAGATTAACTTGTTTAAATAAAGGTGCCTCTGTCCTACCTGGGTTTAAATGTATCCATTTTATCAGCGCTGGAGCCAGGAGGAGGGAACGTTCTCGTCCGGTATCCTTTGTTCTGATTGGCTGCAGGCGGCAGGATGGGAGAAGACTCTCGTCTCCTGGCCTCCCCCCCGCCGCTGCCTCCGCCCAGGCAGAGCTCCTGGATGCCGCTGTAGGTCGCAGAGCCGTGCATGGGCTTGTGGGACAGGTTGTTGGACATGTTGCCGTGGCGACTGTTGTTGTAATGCGTGGACGCGTCGATGCCACTGTCGTTGGAGCCCCCTTTGTTGAGGAGGTCGGGTTCAGGGTCCGCCGGGTCGCCGAGGCAGCCGCCGCCTCCCCGCTCTGCCGCCGCCCCTCCGTCCGACCAGCGCTCCTCGCTGTGGTTGCTGGAGGCGTTGCTGGACAGGGTGTTGCTGCTGGAGTGGCTGGAGTACTGAGTCTCACCCTGCAGAGCCACAAGGACACCGGAGACGCGGACTCATTCAGACTCATTCAGGGGAAGAGGAGGAGACAGAAGAACCAGCGAGACGGGTCGATGGCGCGTCTGACCTTCGAGTGTCTGTTTGGAGAGTCTTTTCCTGGGACATCCTGTCTGGTTAGTCTCCTCTGTCCCCCTCCACCCCCCGGTCCCCGAGACGAGGATGCTGGGACATGCCAGAGGGGCTCTAGACAGAGAACACGCACATGCAGGATTAAAGCAAATTACACTGAACCTCCATGGATGGCAAAGAGGATTAAATACTTATTGCACATTGAAACACTGACCTCCCCAAACTCAACATCATTGAGAATGCACTCTGCTAGCTCTGTTCTACTGTGTACACCAGTCTGAGAGGTGTGGTCAATTTTTAATCCTACAAATAGTCAGTGATTTTTTTCTTTTAACCAGTTAAACAAACGCAACATAAAAAAGGGAAGATCTGAGTATGGACTCTTTTTTTGACGGTAACCTACCTGTCTTGGTGCGCTCCATCGTGCTTTCCTGGCTGGTGAAGCCGGATGAAGCCTCACCACTAGAGATGATGTCCATGCTGAAGAGTTCGTACGGCACCAGGGGGCGCTGAGCTGTACCAAATCTACACAGATCACAGGAGAAAAGACGCTGTCTGATCAGTGACCATATTCATGTTATTGAAAGTCAGATTACAGATTCACATAAATATTACCTGGGAAGGCAAAATAGAATTGGAAAGGATTAGGGCACGCACTATGGTGAAATGCTACTTAAATAAGCACCACAAGTACACCGTTTGGGTTTGATTTTCAGTTTCTGTTGAGCATCCTGATGGCAGTTGAATAAACACGTTTGTCTGGTTGGGTGAGATGTTATGAACCTCCACGCTGTGAGGAAGAGCCACCCACACAACAGATCCTTCCGCTGGGAGACAGCATGTTCGTGCATTTCTATCTGCAGACTCGTACGAGCCACCTTTATTCTGCTTCTACAAACCCATGAAATCTGCCTCTAGCACACTGAAAAGTTGTTATGAGTAACATCGAACATGTTTCGTCATGATTGAGAGGGTGATGGATGAGCGCTCGGAGAACAAAAGGCCCCGCATGCACACACCTGTCAGGGGGAGGTTTGTAATGCACGAAAGGGCCCCCTGTTATTCCAGGAGGCCCTAACGTGGAGAGGGCGACCAGGCCTGAGGAGGGCGAGGAGAAGCTGGCAGAGGGGTTTCGGTAGGCCAGCACTCTGTCGCCTCCTGCAGGGGACAGGCTGTAGTGGTTCTCCGGGTAACTCACCGGCCTGGGAAACACAGAGGGGGCATGTTAGACATGAATGAAAACAAGCAAATAAGCAAAGTATATAAGTAAGTTTTCAGCTGTTCTCAGCTGAGTCTGGCAGGTGGAAACAGTGTACTTCTAATATTTGAGTAAGCCTGAGGATGTTTGAAGAGCTGATTTACTCCCATCATCTTTTTTATTTACTTGGGGGAAGAGCGAATAAATAACACTAAATATTTATTATTTATTATTAGTGACTTCATTTGACTCTTCCGGAGTTTGTAAAAGCTGATGGTTTGTCCCAAAACGATCCCATGTTAATCTTTTTTTATCAGTTGATCCTTATTTTTGTAGTAGACACCATATCCTTTTTTTAAAGGACACCTGATCACATGGCTATCATGAAAACATTTGAAACGAGCAGTCTCATATGCTCGTCTCATACTGACTGATTTCTAACTGGAAACTTAGATATTAAAACACCTTTTAGATGTTGGGTCATTATAACTTATCTAACCAAGAGATACATCTTTTCACTTTTTCACAGATCTGAGGTGTAACTGCAGGATATAAACTAACCTCTCCTTTGTTTGTGTGTGTGTGAGTTTGTGGGTGTACCTCTTGGAGGTGAGGTGCTGTGGCTCTCGGTAGGGGACTGGCATCAGGGTCTTGTGTGAGCGGAGCATTGGAGCAGGTGGAGGCCCCATGGGGGCCCATCGCTGTGGGTTTGGGGCACTGTGGAGGGCTGTAGGAATGGGCGAGCTTTCCCATCGCCACGTTTGGCGAGGGGAGGGCCGGTATCCTGCTGCCAGAGGCTCCGGCTCAGGCTTCTGCTCCATGGTCTTCATTTCATTCTCCTCCGTGCAGCCCCTAAAATGAGGCAGAGAGTGAGGAAATGTTCATACAGCAAACCACAACATCTCACACAAACTGAAGCTTCAATTCTTCTGCAACACCTAGAATTTATCTCCTCTTTATGTTCGTCATCCTCCTTTTGAATCTCAAAAATGGCTCTGAAAGGACCTGAACTGCAGCTGAACCTGAACTACAGCTTTTGTTCAGAGTTCAGTGTGTGAAAACTGCCAAATAATTTCCCTCTGAATGGTATTGTCCTCCGATAAGCTCTGTGGATGTTCAGTGCACGTCCTACATGTAACAGAGCTCACTAATGAGTTCCCACGAGGCAGATGGAGGAGGAGAGACAGGAAAGAAACTGACTATTGGCACATCAAGACTCCATGTTGCCCACAGATAGACTGAGGTCAAGTATATTTGTGTGCATGTGTGAGAGAGAGATTTTCTAATCGTATCAAAGAGCTTTTTGTTCAAACTCTCCATAAATACAGATTTTTGTTTCCTGTAATATTAGTTAATAAGGTCGCAGTGAGTGTCTTCCTGTCCCCTCTCACATAAACATTGACCCTTCTAGTTCTTCACTAGAATAAAAGATTCATGCATCAAATGACGAGAGCAGGTTTCAGATGAAGATAAGCTGCCATTTATCCTCATCAATTATGAAATCTGTGAACCCGTTCTCAGCTGGAAGGGTGGTCATCTTTATTTATTGACTCAAGCTACCAGCTCAACACATGGGATTGTTTCTCATAGTCGCCTCGAACCAGAATACTAACACAAATCTCATCAGTATTCATCCAAAGACTATTTCAGGAGAGCTGGAGGCATTAAATATGCAGATAGGGTGGTATTTAAGATGACAGAAAAGGAAACGAGCAGGGCAGGGAGGGGAAAAGGGTGTTAAAAAGAAAAGAAAGTGAAATGGAAAGTGAAATTTACAGTCAAGAGCAGGATGAAGAACATGCATTATGAGACAGATGAGGACAATGTGATGAATCTCTTCTAAACACATGATCATTGTTCCTATCAACAAGCATCTAAAACATTTACTCTCTGTTAACTCTATATAGAAAATATACAACATTTTTTAAATGTCTATCATAAAAATTCCAGGCTGAAGTAACAGTCTGTTGGATTAACGGTTTCAAAAACAAAAATTTGTAGTATAGTATATTTATATTGTAGAGATTAATAATTCGAATAAAAAGGTTTCAATTATCAATAAATTACTTTTTTTCAAACCAAAAAATTACTTTAAAGGCGAGACTTCAATATTCACTATTTACCATCATCACACATGAGAGCTAACTGCATATCTGAGCTTTTTGCGTGAACAAAAAAAGATAATTATGTGCTTTGGTAAAATATCAAGGGCAATTTTCCTGTGTATTCAACAAAACAATGGACTGCTAAATTATTAAAATACTCTGCAAAGAAATCAACAATGAGGCAACTGTTGGCTGCAGCCTTTAAGAAATGTAAACAGCACAAAGCTGTGCACACAAACAGCCACACACATCTACAAAGATCTTCAGAAAATATGAACAAAAACAGCAACAGTGTCTTTAACAGAAGCCCAGCATCAAAATGCTGATCAGTGCCCATGAATTTAACATGCTGTCTGCACATTTTAATCCACAAAGAGAATCTTTTCATACAACCAATCAATACACCACGGCAGCGAACGTTCAGACCTTGAATACACAAACAAAGTGGTAGAAAATCCAAACCTTAGAGATGGCAGAGCCTGCTTCTGACATTGTGCAGTGATTCTTCCCAACACACCGACACACGGTCAGACCCACGCCTTTTCTCGGATGTGCCCATCCATCTTGCAAGACGGAGCACAAAAGACGCACACTTCCAACTTTTGTCCTCTCCGGTCCTTTCTCTCCTCCGCCCACTCCTCTAACTCTTGGCAGTGTTGAGACACGTCCTCCTCTCCGCGCTCTTCTCTGCCTCCTCGGCTCGGCACACTCATCCCTGCCTTCCTCTGTCTTTCACTCGGTCCCTCCCTTTCTTTTTCATCCTTTTCATTTGCACAAGGCATGCATATTTAATTAATCGTTTCCCCTCCTTTATTTTTTTCTCTTTCTTTTGTGGTCGGTTTCTCCTCCTACATGCAGACTCCAGGCCTTAATCTCGTGCGATCTGCTTGCCTGGCGCACAACAGCAAACAAGTCAGAGTGGGAGAGGGGCAGAGGGAAACGCAAGACTCTAATTATCAGCTGCTCCAAGGCCATGCAAAAGAGTGTGTGTGTGTGTGTGTGTGCGTTTTTGTGTGTGTACGATGGCTTTAACTTGGGGTAATTAAACTGCCTCCAACATTAAAGACATCTAACCACTGTGCCATCTCACAGCTCCCCACAATTACAGCCTTTAAGGGCTCTGGACCTCAGCCAGAAACAGGCATACTTAGGTTATTTTTTTCACCTGGGTAACCGTTGTGAAACACCACATCGGCGTCTCATAAAGCCCTTTGTGGTATTTCATTTAGCTCTTTATGTGCGGATGAGAAAATGGAAAAGGGTGATGGCGGGAAGAGACTGTGGGAGGAAAAGAAGCATGACAATAGAGACGGCCACATTAGAGGGGGACAATAAGAAGGAACGGAAGATTTTGCTAATTCGCGTTAAGCAAATGCTTCTGTCGTTTTGTCTCCATGCTTCCTTTGAGCAGTTTGCTCTCCAACTACGTTGCGCTCTTTCGCCTGCTTCCACTTTTCACGCACTCCCACACAAAATCCTCTCAGAACACTGAAGTCTGGCGACTACCTCAGCCAGGCTTTTGTGTTTGGCTGGGGAGCATCCTCTGCTCTTTCTAGCTCTCTAATCCCTATGCCACTGCCAGCGTGCGCTCGGCACCCTCCTGCGTTTCCACATCTGTGCTGACAACAGCTGCTTCCAAACGAATTGCTCATTAGTTCGGCCCCTCGAAGTGTCTTACTTCAAGGCCGAAGGATCCGGAGTAAGCCCTGCATGATAACACGCAGCCTGCACCCACCTTCGAGGTCCGCCCTCTTCGTAGGGTGGAATAATGACCACTTTGACGGTGACAGACGTCCGCAGGAGGTCAATCATCTGCTCGTGGGTGAGCGTCACGGCGGCCACCTTGCAGATCTCCACTAAGCGGCTGCCCTGCCTCAGCCCCGCCTGCCACGCAAAGCCGTACTCTTCCACCTTTGTGGAAAAAAACAAAAAGAGGGGGTCCGTTACACACACACACAGATGTTTGGAGATGAACGCCGTTGGATGAGATGTGCTCGTTGGACGGTACCTCGGCCACGGTGCCGTCCAGCCGAACGTGGAAGCCCAGCTGTCCCAGTCCGTTTCGTCTCAGGGTCATATCCACCGTCTCACATCCCACGGTCAGTGACTGCACAGAGATAAGAGATTATGGTTTAAATTTGAATAAAATAAACTTTTTACATCCGTACTGACGTCGGTTGTGAGTGAAGTATCAGAACAATGTGGACCACTCTAATGCTGACAAGTTTCGTCATGTTATTTTCAACACTATTAACCTTTTTCCCCAAAGAGTAAAACTGGAGTTTGATTTCTCTGAAATCCAGGTGAGTCAGGAAAACTGCCAAAGGGATTAAAAAACACACAATTACTCAGTGAAGGAAATCCCCTGAGTTTAAAACAGGTATACGAACGTTAAGGTATTGCTCAACCTTTCAGAAAAAAAACACCTGAATGTTTTTTTAAGTTTTGAAGTCTGATGACAGAGAGGATTTCTGACCTTTCATAGTTCTTTCAAAAGTTTTACAGCAAAGTTTTATTTGGTCTGTGACATCAAAGAAAAGCAAGAGAGCAAAGTAACAAAGGTAGAGGGGGCAAAAAGTATAAAAGCTTTATGAGGAGAGGTGTCCCCCATCGTGTCTGTTCATACACACCAAGGTGTTCTGACAAACACTGGATGCTAATGGCAGCTCTACTCATACTATGACACGCAATGATCTTATCAACCACACAAAGCCCAAAACCTGTGCTGCAGGGATCCACACGCCCGGTGCACTTTGACCTCTGTCCTCTCACCTTTAGCCTCTGCACCATCTCCCTGATGTCCAGCGCACAGCCCTCTGGAACTCGGACTGCAATGTGGTCTCCTCTGCCGTAGAAGATCTTTAGTGCGAGTCGCTCCGGAGTCCAGCCGATCACGTCCGCACAGAAACAGTTAAACACCACCTCTTTGGTGGAGCAGTCTATGAGGAGGATGTATTCGGCCGACATACCCAGGGCACAGGGCAGCTCTGTCCCTCCTCCACTGAAGTCCTGGGCTAGGACTCTCCAGGCGACAGCCCCTGCCGCTCCCAGCTCCGCTCCCTCTCTGGCCTTTGAGCGCTCGCGCTTCTTGGATGCCAGGGAGATGAGGTTGTTGAGCTTTCCGGCGGAATCGAGTGGCGTGCTGCTGACGTAGTTTTCAGCCAGGTCCCGCAGGTACTCCTGCCGCGTTCGCGTGGCCATGGTGTGGAACTTCTCCGACTTGTGTGCTGCGCTCTCTGCATTGAGGACTTTGGCCAGGAGGAAGTTCCGGAAGGTTTCCGGATCACGGAAGGTAACTCCGCTGGGGATGGGAGGTCCAAAAGGAGGCACATCCTTCATCCGTGTCACAGCAGCGCTGAGGGGAAAAGGAGGGTTGGAAGTGTGTGAAGCCACGGTCTCCTGCTTCGGACGGGTTCTGCTGGGGATACTTACCTGTAGCAGGTGTTGTCGGAGCAGGGGTTGTGGACACGGACAATAACAAACACGTGCTGGAAGTGTGAGCGGATATTCTGAGGCGTGAAAGGCAGAGCTCCCGGCTCTTGAAAGATTATGGTGACAATGTCATTTCCAATGTGCCTCTTTCTCAGGAGCTGAGGAATAGAAGAGAGATAAAAGTGACAATCCAACAAAATGACTCAACTGCCGTGGTACACCGCAAACGTCTGGCGGACACCAAACAACAGCTCTTTATGTAATCCCTTATTGGCCTTCCGTGTGGGCTATTTGTGTCTGGTGGTGTCTCTGTGCTCATGCGGGAAGCATGGCACACAGTCCAGGCTGTGTCTGTGCTGCTGTGCTTGCCAGCACCTCTCTTCATCTGAACAGAGAAGTGTGAAAGTACCAATTATGTAATACATCCCACTGTTTGGCCAAAGAGATGTTCTCCGGCATGCTAGCGCAGGAGCAGCGTTTGCTGGTGCTCAGAGGCTACAGCTCCAAAGTAGCACGGGGCAGCGACTGGTGTGCAGCTACATGGCAGGCCTTTAATCAGACGGGTTCGATACCTGCTGCATCTTGCCCCTTTCCTGGTGAATAATTAATTCACAGTTTCATCACGTACGGTTTAGGATCACTTTGTGGTAGCAGCTAATGCTTTTCTTTGTGTTTCAAGTAGAAACCATGGCAGCAGCTCAGATCATCCAGGGTCATTTGAAAGTGGATGCTGCCCCCTAGAGGACCAACTGAAGAAGTAAAGCCTGCTTCTGCTGCAGAGCATGCGCCTCTGGATGGAGTAATTGTGCCACTTTCTGAATGAATTTTAAAACTTCCGAAAAATGTTTCAGTTGCTCGGCTATTTAAGTTAACATAAGAAATCTGCATCTGTTCATAAAAACTTGTCAAAGTTAGTGTAACTGTTAAAAAGCTTTCCTTCAGAAAAAAAGTTAAAAAAACGTATAACCGTATAACTATATTATATGGAACCGTATTGCAAGATTGCTCAGGGTTATCTTGATGTGACATCTATTTTAAAATGTGCTAAACTCTTCTGTGGTGATGTGTTGACACAAAAGGTACAAACTGATCCTGAACATCCTCAGGGCTCAGAGCACATGTGTACACACATCAAAGCCTCTCCCACAAGCACTTAAGCAACTTACCCACATACCATTTTTTATTTTCTATTTCTTACAAACAGCTTTTTTATGTACAGCTCCTGTGGCAAACTCAGGAAAATGAATAAGGCAGCTTTATTTCAATAAAGAAGGGGGAAAACAATGCTAATAACCTACTCACCACTGAACTCCACCCAGCTTTGATTAATTTAAGGACTACGAAGCAGAGCAAGGGCAACAAAGAAAGCTAGGACAGCCGTCAAAGCCACAAAGGCAGAACAGAGGAAATAAAAACAAAAGAATTTGAAAAAAATGGCTGAGCGACTTTTAAATGAAGTCAAATGAAAGTCACAAGTTTTGAACTAACAGCCAAATATGCTTTGAAATGCTTGGGGTGACAACAAATGGCCTTTTCAGATGTGCACAGCAGTGTTTGACTTGCTGATGAGACGCGCGGCATCCGGTGGTGCTATAACTGGGCATGCTTGTCAGCTCTTACCTGCTGTGGGTTGTTGGGCATGTACGGCAGCATGGTAGAAACGTGGAACATGATCTCGTAGCCCTGGTAGGTGGTGTAAAGGGAGTGGGTGCCTGTGGAGTCCGCTGGAGGAAGGAAGTGGAGAGACTTAGGTGAGGCTAATGTCAGAATATGTGACTACAGATGGCAATGGGTTGCTGAACGAGAGTTTCTGGTTCAAACTGAAGTGCTTCTAGGGACCCCTGCAGCCTGATTTGACTAACAAATAACCTTTGTGGTGTCATTCATGTTTTAAAAAGGATGGACTTTATTTTTATCATTTCGACATACTGTGGACTTCTTTAAAGTAATCTTCACTTCGACAAAACATAAGCATGAATAGAAAGGCTTAAAAAATATCCCTTCAATACAGAAAATGAGGATGGAGGACTGAAGCTTTTCCAGGGAACAGAGAGAGGCGCTCACTCTTTGTGTCGAGCTGTGCGGCGTATTTGTTGAACCCTTTGAGAAGCACCTGCTCCCCGAGCAGCTCCAGGAAGGCAGAGAAGGCGGGTGATGCCTCCTCGTTGTTGTACATCTCCTCCTCGGTGCTCTGGCCCGCGCGGCACAGCAGAACACCCACCTTGTGCTTCTGACTCAACTACAATGCACACACAGAGAACAAACACCAACAGCTGAAGCACAGCTGCATGAGGCTCACGCGTCTATAAAAACTTTATGTCGGCAGATGAGCCTTTAATGCGGCTGTGACGCATCATTATGGACTAGTGTGTTCACATGTAGAGCACGGTAGACCCGTTGTGTACCACCTACACCTAGGACCGCTGCTGATATGGGACCGTTGTCCTGTACTTCACCCTTCCTTAAATAAAAGGTGATATAACTCAACCAAACAAAGTGTTTTATGGTTACACAAGCAAACTCAACACAGTAAACCCTGATTTGTGCTGCTTTCACTGCCTAAAGTTGTACTTTGCACTGACATTAAATCAGTTTAATAGGTCTCAGACACTGCTATGCACACTATGTGAGCATACTGCTTTGCTACCGTTTCGCCTTATCGTTATTTTCTGCTTTTTAAAAAGTCGGGTATGTGACTTATTGACTGGCCATTGCAGGTGCCCTGGCTGTCGATAAGCAAATACAGACAAGTTTAACTCACCCCTTGTTCATCCAGTTTCAGGAGCTGCTCAGTGACTTTGGCTGTGCTAAGCGCCAGCCTCAAACAGGAAACATTGAGCTCAGGAACGACCTGTTCCAGGACCTCTTTGAGCGGCAGACCGCGAACCGTGCCGTGTTTCCCCGTAGACGCTACCGAGTCTTCCAAGATAGAACCTCGCAGGGTCACAAGCTGCATGTGTGGTAAGAGAAGAAAAGAGGCAGAATAGGATTTTAAGGCCATATCAAATCATTCAAACACGCAACGTGGAAGGAAATTCATACTATCTCTTTTTATTTATTTCTATTTGGATAATTAAACAGCTTAGCTCCTACTAAAACAGTAAATCTAGCCCAGAATATAAAGCCTGTATAATCGTTCTAATGATGTTTGGTTGTATAGCGAGGTCAGTGTTCACTCAGCCACAGACCCATGCCTGTGGAACTAAACATGTGGAGGATTAGTTGAACAAGAGCCAAAAGTGATCGATCAAAAGAAGGATTGTCTTATTACTGAGAGGAAGGAAGGCCCCGCTGCCCCAAAGCTTTTTCTCTCACGCATTGAAAGTGCCCTGGGTGGAGGGGTTTTAAGACAGTTAGTCTTGTGAATTAATATTCTGCTCAGTACTGTACAGCCACAGTGCGCTGGGGGGAAATTGAGCCACTTGAAAACAGTGGGACTACAATAACCTCAGGTAGGTAGAGTCAGGAGGAGTGGGCGCTCACATCATTAAAAATGCATGGCCGACTACGGAGCTGGCGGAGGCCAGAAATAAAGCTGAACCACAGAGACTGCCACAAAATAAATGAAACCCAACTGACACTCAGCTGAAGTTCTGGGGCTTGTGTTTCAAGTCGTCAGCTTCTGTGTGATAGCGGAGCGAGTCACATGCTGAGTGGGAACATCAGGGGAGCGTGAGCGGTTAAATGTGTGAAGTAAGGCGAGAGAAGAGGGGGGAGTCTCTCCACCTTGCTGTATCAGCACTGCTGTGCAGAATTAAATGACAGACTTACGAGGGAAGGATATTTGAGAGGTTCTGCAGCCTGAGTGGGGGGGGGGGGGGATAAATTCTGCTATCAATCTCTTTTTTGTGTGTGAGAGTGAACAGCAGGCCTGGCTGTGCTGGCTGTGTCTATTAGCTTAGCTCTGTATACTTAGATGCTGGAGAGGCTCTTTTGTTGCAGCAGAGCTAAAGTGATGAAGGCAGGCAGCCATGTAATCCAGCTAAAAACAACACAGCAACCACATTCAGGCTAAAAGTGCATGAAAACAATGAACAGGAACACTTTTTTTTGGGTTGAAAACTCTTGATATTACACAAAACAGTGAGATTGTGCTAACTATTGAAACCCCTGACACCCCTGATGATAATCCCTCAGCATCTGTGGTAGACTAAGGAACCAGCAAGTCAGTTTTTCAAAATAACTGAACACACTGTAGGTCTTTGATCCGTTCAAGTGAAAAAAATGTCTGGGCGTGCTCACGGAGAGGGAAAGCTGAACGACTCGACCCGAGCAGGCAGTGTTTGGTTTGGCTTTTGTGTGCCCCGACAGGGCAGGGGGGAAAATTCCACAAACAGCTAAGAGGCAGTGTGAACTGAATGGTGAGGGGGGGGCAAAGAAAAAGTGATAAGAAGGAGGGGAAGGAGTAGAAGGAGGGGATGTGTGGCAGGTAAGACTGGAGAAACTGAAAGTAAGTCATAAAGTAATAAACATGTGCCTGAGTCATAGGAAAGAAATTTCCCAACAAACACACAAAGACGGCAGAAAGTGCACACCTCGCTTGTTCTGAGGATGAGCCGGTACTGGTACTGGTCCTTCAGGTCTTTGGTGTCTTCCACTTTCTCCCTGCGGATGCTCACGGCCACAGGGCCCAGCTTTTCGTCCGTCCCAAAGTAGTTTGAGTGCTCTGGTGAAGGATAGAGTGAACCAAAGTTACAGTTAGGATGAAGAAAAAAGGATTAATGATTCATTTGTCTGAACATGCCTGTGTTATGTCTTTTGAAGGGTTCACTGACAAATGGCACCAGCTGCGGGAGCTTTTATCAAAATGCTAAATATCTCTACTTCAGGAGTAAATTATGTTTAGCTGATCTATATTCTTAATGAAGGTAAACTGCCCATTTTTCCAGTGTAGGTCACAAAAAAAGACAACCCTGAACTTTGGAAAACTTTAAGGGATGTTTTTTTCACTGTGTATTGACACTTCGAATGTGAACAAGTTTGCATTTAACAGCTACCCATCTGGTTAAGTGTTAGAAGCCAATGTTTGGCTGTTTTCCAAAGGATACTGCAGAAATGACAGGAACAGTAACAAAAATGGCGAGAAAAAAAAAGCTTACCAGAGGGATGTCAGGTGCAAAGCAGAGTGGAAGGGGGAGGGGTTTAAGTCAAGGGTAAGGGGGGGGGGGCAATGTCATATAACATAGAAATCAATAATCAGTCAACCACAAAATCAATTCAGCTAAAAGACCCAACCAAGAAAGAGAGGTGAGAATTAATGGACTTAGTGGTTGAGAGATGCTGGACTTATTTTGTATTTTGGTTGGAAAAGCTTCACTACAAAAGGAGGGCCTTGTGAAATCCAAATCACCCACTATGGGTGAAGGGACAAACATGTCCTCCTTTTATTAAATCCTAGAAATGGCCAAAGCGTTGCGTCTTAAGCCGGCACTTAACATTCAGGAGGTTTTATTACCAGATTTGGAACATCCCAACATGAAATCAAACAGGCACAGACAAACCAATCAACACTCCTCACAAGTATCTAGTAAATGTCTCCTCAGCTAAGTCAGTCTAATGCTAAGGCCACAGGCAGTGTAGGAGTCATACAACAAATTTTCCTGACTCTTCAGCAGGAATCTAGCTTAACAGAAATATTCTTCCTCTTTCCTCCCTCTAACCAGAGAGAATCAGGACAACATTTATGTTCTGAGACTCAGGCCTGATTATCTTCATCGCCATGTCCTGTGGCGGAAATGTCAGCTTTCTGATGAAGCTTTCTGACATGGACATGGGGGGGCACAGCAAACAATCATTCCACATTCCGGGGAATAGCTGTGCTGAGGCAGACTCAGTAGACAAACATATCTTTGGAACGGCAACCTTTATCTGTGAGGCTAAAGGCCTTAAACTCTCCCACACACAAACACACGTTTGCCTAGACACATGTTCTCCTACTAACATCTGTCACTAATTAAGCTGCAGCCAGATGATGCTTGCCAAAGGGGAAGTTCATCAAAAGTGTCTGAAGAGGTGAGCTGACAAGAAATGTCCGTGCAAACGCGTCTGCTCAAATGCTCCTGGAAGTCAGGCGTTACTCTGAACGCCGCAAACAGATGTAAAACAAAGCTGCGCTGCCACATGTGTGAAGCACTCTGTGTAATCTTGCAGAAAGGCAGGTGGTGTATCATGAGCCCTGAGTTTGCCAACTGTCCAGTGGCAGGTACATGTGCAGTAAAAGCTCTTGGAGGGCGGCCAGTTTGGCCCGCTCTGCTCTGCTCAGACCCGGACGGATATTACAGACTGCAGTTTGGGATGTGGGGAATGACACTGAGGAAATCTCTGGCCAGTCAAACACCGTGTTCAGGGCGATCCACTCAAATGGCAGCAACAGGCCCAAATCGAATTAAGAAAACCAACATAACAGTAATTAAAGGAAATATGGTTTCAAGTAAAAAAAAATGGGAAAAATTCCCAGACAAAAACAATTAAAACAGATAGTCACCTTGGCACTTTTTAAAATAGTTTTAGGAGTACTGCAGACTAAATAATAACCTATGATGTAATAGAAGCCCAGGATGAATTACTCCACAAACTTGGCAGCAGATCTCTCAGATATTTTTGTTTCAGCGAAAGATGTACATCTCAAATTGCAACACAAGGAATCTTGTCACACAGCAAGCATGATCACTCACAATCAGTGTTCAGAGTCATGACAGCTTACATCAAAGTGTGAATTGTGCAGCAGTGTGGCTGGGTGTTACCTTTCCCGTGGAAGTAGTCTCTGTAGTACCGGGCACCCAGGTCCACGTGCTCTATGCTGTACAGTTTCAGTCTGTCCAGTCTCTTCACCTGCTGCTCAACTGCTATCTCCAGCACCGACAGGCTAGCGTTGCTCTTCCTCAGCCCCACTCTTCCTCCCTCTCCTCCTCCGTCTCCTCCCCGCTCAGCTGAGGAGCTGAGGAAGCTGATGTTTCGCTCTCTGTGGCCCCCCGTCTCGTTTAGGAAGTGGGGGCAGCAGAGGAGGAGAGGACTTGTGCTATGGGCTCCCGGCCCTTCAAGATGCTCCACGGCCAGGGAGGCTGGTGTTGAACCCTGATCGAGGTTCAGGGTCAGATCTTCTATGCTGGAATAAATGGGCTCGTTGACACTGGGAGCCGAGGATCTGGAGACGACTGAGGCTGCCGAGGCCCCTGTGGCAGTGTTCCTCCGCTGGGTAACGAAGCCCCGCTGGGCCGCCGCATCGTGAAGGTCGAATAGGATGCTCTGAGCATCAAAATGGACAAAACTCTTGGGACACACCCACGGTTTGTAAGGGGTATCTGACAGACCTCGCGCACCCCTGTCTTCATTGGACTCTCCTTTTCCCCCGTCCAGCTCCCCTCTGCTAGAGCTTCGGAGTTTACGGAACAAAGAGGAGGTGCCCAGCGATGACTCTGTTCCTCCGCTTTTCTTCCTCACTCTCTCAGCACCGTCCTTCCTTCCGGTGCCTCTGTCCTCCCCACCGGCCGGACCAGGTGATGGGGCAGAGGGCAGGGGCGCGCTCGGCGGCGAGTCTGGGGCGCGCAGCAGCTCGCCGAGGCGGACGGGCGCCGAGCTGCGCTGGTCAGGCCTCTCCTGGTGGAACTGACTCAGCATGTCAAAGAAGCTCTGCTCAGGAATGCCCTGGATGTCAATGGAAGAAGTGCTGCCGTACTCCCTGAAGCGGTTCCCCATCCCACCACCTCCGTGACTTTCCACCTTGGAGCATAACAAAGAAAAGCAAAGATTGAACACATCACTTCTTCAAAATAAGAATTTTACTAGAAATAGGCTTTAAAATAAGCCTGAATCTAATACTACACAATGCATCATATCGTCATCGTTTCACACCAAGTCTTACCTCATTTTCATCTTGCTCGCTCAGTGTCACCTCACTGTTGGAGCGCTGTCTCAAAGGTGGGAACATCCTAAAGTTTAGGGGTGAGCCCCTCTCACCAGCAAACCCTCCCCTGAACTCCACATCCTTTGTCCGTCGTCGGGGTAGTCGGGCCACTCCTCCCCTCACCAGCCTGACGTCGGACGACAGGACTGAGGACGAAGTCGAGCTGTCATCGTAGTGATTGCTGCCAGTTTGCCCGTTTTCGAGCAGGGATTCCTGGGATTGTGCACGGCGTGGAGGCCACTCCGCGATCCGTGCACGGACGCCCATTTTTGGCACAGAGATGCGCGTCTGGAATGATGGATCTGTGGGACCCGGAGCCGGGTGGCCGTTGGGGGTATGACGAAATGGAGTGTGCTGGGGCAACCCTCCTCCTCCTCCATCTAGAAGGTCTGAGGAGGTGCACGTTACCCCTCTGTCTCTGTAGCTGTTCATGGTGCCCCAGGAGAGCTTAGGGCTGGAGGGCCGGGGGCTGGCATCCCATGCTGGGAGGGGTGCTCGGGAAGACGGAGCGGAGCCGCCCCACGCACACTCTGCAAATGGTACTGCGGCCTCCAGCACCCAAACGCATCGCTTTTAACTAGCAGGTCGGGAAAAACCTTAGCAGCACATAATCGACTGGTCTGGAGCGGGGCTGGACCTTGTCTTCTTCCTCTTGGATTATTTTTCCGTTATCTGAGAGGAGGAAAAAACAGGGGGAAAGCAATTATTTTAGCAAAAACGGCTTTAAACTCAGCATGAAAAAAATATTGAAATACAATATTTTGAAATTGGAGCTGGCGTGACCTAAATTGTCCCGACAGACCCAAATAAAACTTGAGCTCAGGATTCAGAGGAGTGACTCACTCAACTGTAAAACATGAAGACTGATAAGCCAGAGAGAAAATAAGGTGAAGGGATATGACAGAGGATTTCTCCCGTTGAGGCTAATCTTCAGGAGGCTGACAAGGGATATTATTATCACTCATTGGAGTGCTAGTGCCTGCACACATAAACCTTCACACACCCACAGGACATGAAGGCTGTCGTCGCTCTGCCGCAGATTAAAACTTCAGAAACACTTCAGCTAATAACAGAACCGGAAGGGAGCAAAAAACCTGAACAGAGACGTTTAAAGAAATATGGATTTTAGGCTGTATGTGCTACATGCATGGTTTGTTGTTTTGGTTAATTTTGCTCTCATGATGGGACGTAGCTGAGAGAAAAAAATAAGTAAAGCTATTCGGCTTAGATTTTTCCTCAAAAACAACAAGCAATTTAATTTTTGTGCAAGTGATGGTTCTTAGAGAAAAGGAGATGAATAAGGCCAACAGGGCAGCCGGAAAAGGGCAAGAGCACACAGTGAGCGTGCAACAGCCGGAGGGGTGAGGCTGGGTAGAGCCAGAAATAGAGACTGGAAAAAGTCGAGAAAGAGCGCTGAAAGATGGTGCTCAATGACCACACTGACATGCCTTAATATGACACTCACACAGCATCGAGTCTTAATCGGAAGGTTTTTTTACTGACTTGAGCTCATTCACAATCATTCTCATCTGTCCTGACGTCCAATGTCCTGAATGTTGGAAAGGAATCTTCTCGCATCGTTCTGATTTCACCTAACAGTTGAATAGTTCCTATATCTAAAGTGTGCACCGACTGAATCTGTACAAAAAAAGGACACGAGTTAAAGCCAGCACAATCTACTGTAAAAATGAATCCACTTTTAGTATTTGAGTGTGTCTTCAGACAGGAATAGAAAAAAAGATCTTATAAGGACGTAAAAGAGAAACACATTTTCTTTTTGGGAATTAACCCCCCCCCCAATATTGCCCCCTTCCACCAAGACCCTGTCCTAGTCTCAAGATTAAATATGGAAAAAACGTGGAAGCAACACTCCCACAGTCTCTGTGGGGGGGCATTAAAAATGAGGGCTTCAGATAAATGTCTAAAATATAAATGTGCTTAATTCACTCCTCTTTGCTGCACTCCTTTCTCTGATTAAAGCTCTTTTGTAATCGTAAGTCTCTCCTTGAAATGCTGAAGTCAGGAATATCTGCACGGATGGTGGTTGTGTGAGGGCAAGCACGCACAGTCTTTTTTTAAGTGTGCTCCAGATTCTAATGTTCACAATTTAATCTTTCCCCTCTTCATTTTCTATGGAGTGATTTTCTGTTGCGTGCAGCTTTTTTAGAATCCCTGAATCTTTAGAATGAATAAACCCTTCTGCCCATTACCATAATCCATTAAATATTCCTACAGATTTCATTCATTCAACCCTAACCTAAACGGCTTATTTGAGTTGGTTTGGCATCGGTATGGCGGCCCAAACTGTTTGCTTCGAACGGATTAACAGTTAAAGGACAAAAACAAATCACAAAAAAATAAATGGAAAAATTAATTGTTACACAAAAGTGAAAAGTTACTTCAAAGATTTATTACATGAAGACATTTTGTTGTTTGATGTTTTGTGGGGGGTGCATAATGCATACTCTCCATAAAGACACACTTTCAGTCTAGCAGTCAAACATTTGATTATTTATAGCTAATTTAAAAGTGTCAAAAGGGGCCCACTAGGAAGAGTTTTGCTCCGAGTTTACCTGGATTGCTTTATATCACACCAACAAATATCTTTGCGAAGCGGAGTTTGTTACAGCAGCTTGGAGAGAGTAGTTTTTTTGTTTTTAATGAGTCCTTGCTGACCTCATTTTGGCACTCTTACCGTATTACTCATTCACTCATACACAGGCACCAACAGCACATCTCATTCACAGCAAACAGAATCTTATTGTAGCCTAAAAGCTACACAAATGTATCATGTCTTTGTTTTTTTGGAGATGCAAAGGCGCTGCTGGGCCAAAAAGCCTGTTCTGATCCTCCTTTTTGACAGAGTGTGTCCTCATAAGGCTGTCCTGTGATCCACTACGAGACCCAATCTCAGATTATCCGCCCCAGCTGCGAGAGCCGAAGAATGGCTTCATTATGTGTCTGAGGTTCCTGATGAGAGAGGCGATGGAGAGACTGTGGTGTGTTTTATCATCAGCGAGTTCGGTTAGCACGTTGCCCCAACTGTGAGAAGTGAACCTCAGCTGAACAGATATCAAAACCATGAACTAACCGATCGGAACACAGATGATGATGGTTAGATTACATTAAAAACACGTTTAATTTTGGGCTACGGTTAAAGAAAAAGAAAGACAAAGACAAAAAAGATTGAATTAAAGGTTCTCTACACACTAAGAATAAGGCAGACACCTCCAGGTTTGGCACAGCCTTCAGACGATAAAGGGGAGACATTTAATGCCTCTTAATTACTCCAAAACAGTAATTAGCGAGAAAGGATGTACCTCCCCCTGTTCTGGCTCTCTGATTCATATTCCTTCCTCTTTTGCTCTATCCGCACCACCTCTGACATGCATAGCATGATACAGGCTTGGCGCACGCACAGCAAACGCACACCAAGGACGGTAATTATGCTGGTTAGATGCTTGTAATGACAGAGCAAGTAGAGAAGTGCAGTTTCCAGAGGAATGAGTGTAATCACTGTGGAGGAGGTGCCAGTGCTGCTGCAGCTCGCTGGTGTGTCACAGCAATGTCGGCCGAGCCGGGATCAGTGAAGGATGCAGGCGACTGTATTAAAGATCGGGAGGGATCCCACCCAGTGTTAGAGGAATATTTGTCAGCAAGCAAGTCTTCATGTTCAGAGATGCACACAAAACATTAAAAAGCTCAGACACAACCAAGCCGCTCCGGTAAAAACTATCATTGACATTAAGATCGTGTGTTTAAATAGAACAAAATGTAAAAGTATCACCAAGATTAAGGAGCGGTCTGAGGGACAGATGGTGGTACATATGACTGGCAGACGGCAGACATGTGCAGAACAAAGCACGAGAGGGCTGTTTGACCATCACACATTGAGCTCTCAGGTCACCGAGACTCCGACAGAAGAGGACAGAGCAGAGGAGACAGCCAACAGGTGTCATGTGACTGCAGGTTCAAATTACGCCTGCTTACACGCCAACCGTCCAATAAAAGCTTCTAAAAACTTGGCCAGCAAACCTAAATAATGTGTCTGGGGACTGAATCACTCCTGCTCATCGAGGTTCAAACAGGCTGAGGAGCTCTGTGTGCCTCAACACTTCAGTCCTTTAGTCATAACAGTGTTAATTAATACAGCCTCATTCCCAGTTAAGGTGCTCTTCGTCACACACTTTTCTGGCCCTTTTGTCAAACAGATAAAAGACTACAATAGTGCCTGCAAATCAACTTACTCAAGCTTAATTTTTTCAGTTGCAATAAGAAAGAGAGAAGAACTGCAATCTCTGTTAAATATTTCTGAATGCATAACTCCTGCAAACATAATGCTCAAATAGTTGATATATTCATTGAACAATTGATGTGGCCTCGACTCAAAGAGAATTCAAACTAATCTGGTGAAAAATAAAAATCAGTGCAAGAGTTTGAGATCTTTGATGCACTGCTGACAGCACGCGTGCAATAAAAAAGAAACTGCATGTTGAGGATGTCGATGAGGCGGCCTTGACATTTCATTGGTTTCTGTTGTGGAGCTGACTAGAGTGACTCATGCCGAGAAATGACAGGAAGACTTGAGGTGTCTGCCCAGTTTTCCCTCCTTTGACTGATTCTCTTTCACAAGATCCTATTTGATAAACAAATTTGATGGCGAGGTGCTGCTAGCACACATGGTAATTTGAGGCTTTGTATCCTTTACTTCATGTTCCCAAAATCCAGCATCTAGTTTACCCAGCAGCAGGAAAACTTTTTGTTTTTACTGGAAATATGCAAATAATAAAGAGCCATTCCACAGCTCCGGCGTTCTAATATTAGCACAAGTGCCCATGCTGTGTGCGAGATATCAAAATTAGAAATCTGTTCCTTACAATACTGACTGAGTGCACACCAAACGGTGCAGGACACACTGGAAACCACACCAGCAAATGGCATTATGCTCTGCTTAGAAATCTGTTGGTTTGACTGAAGGGCACAGTTCTCCCTCTGAGACAGAAGCCTTGCAAAGCAGAGGCTCTGCCCCCCCTCCCCCCCCAGTTTTATTCCTCAAGACTTTCCCATCCTTGCTGTCAATGTCCCGGTTGATTTTTGTCTACATCGTTTTGCTGAATCCCATTAATGCTACAAGTGTCATTTCAATCTTCCTGTCTGTCTGTCTGTCTGTCTGTCAGGCTGACGTCTCATGACACAGAGACAGGCTCTGAGGAGGAGTGGGAGGGGGACCGGGGGTCAGGGTGAAAAGAGCAGGACTGCACACAGATGCAGGAGATAGACATATCATACAATGTAGCCGTCTAGTCATCAGTCACCGGTTTATTTGCCGAAGAAAGACCATATGGACTCTGGTGAGACAAGAGAATGTAGTAAAAAAGCTGTATAGATTAAACAGAGGACAGGAAATACAGAGGAGGTTAAGATGAGTGTGTGGGGGTTTGGATACCAAAGAATTCACTTCCTCAGTTTCCATAGTTGTGCAAAGGTCCAGCTCATCATTACATGGAAATGTATGTGGTAGATTTACTGGCAATTTCAAAACTATTCAGTCACGTGATGTGTGACAACAGGCCAGACATAACCATATATGCTCGGAAAGACCCGCCCCCCAAAATAAAAAGGTCATATTTAACATTACACTGAAGTTTTGATTATGTGTTTCGGTTAAGCTGCATAGCTCTCTTTTTTAAAGCAAAGTACATGTCAGGTGACCTCCTTTTCATTATCTGCACAAAATGCAGATGAGGAAGAGCTTTGTCTACAAAAAAGCAGAGCAGACAGCTCACTACCCCCCACTTACTCTGCACAAAATCTTATCCAGGTCACCCAGCCAATTAGCCCTCAATCAAGTCTTTAAAATCAAAATGAAATCCATGAATCCACAAAGGTCCCATCATGAGTCCCACACATCAAATTCACCCAAAACTCTGATCAAAATGAAGACGGAGCAGTTTGCTTAAAGAATATTTACACAAACCTGTTTTGCCTTCAGCTGTGCGGGAGAAGTAGGCGAGGTCTGACGTCACTCAGGGGGGAGAAGACACTCCGTATTTGAATCTATAAAACAAAAGAGGGAAAATAGTTTACAGCTCAGCTTGTGGAGAAGTAAACATAATGGCTGGGCTTCTATCGCTTTACTAAAATGGGGCTTATATGAGGTTTGAATGAGGTTTCCTTTCATGACAGTCTGTTCACGTGTTTAAATAATACGACAAGATGTCTTTTGTGTGAGGGACTAGTAACTGAAGGTGTCATAAGTTCCATGGTCACGAAGACGTCCACATGTGTGTGGTCTGGTAGGACTCTGTAAAAAATCTGTAAAAAAGCATCCATTCACACAGGGTGACACGGACGCATGTCATGTAAGTTTTGTAGATCAAAACTCGACCAGGAGTTAAGTGTGATGAAGTAGTGGATAGATTACAAAAGGCAGAGGAAAACAAATAAATATGCCCCAACAACAATTCATCTCTGTGTCATTTCCTGTCTCATTTGTTACCCTGACTCAATTTTTCTGCTTTGCCGTGTTCACAGATGTAAATAGAGAGGAGGAGGGGAAGCAAAGTGCAGAGGGGTGTGCACTATGATTAGAGGTCGAAGGATCTTAGAACAGAAGGAGGGACGTGTCTTACAATAAAGGGGTGAAAGGAGGGTAGAGGAGGGGGAAGGTGGGAATCAGCAGACATAATGCCCTGAGGGGCAAGCCCATAACTGTCTGGCAAATACAGTTCAAATCAATACAGATCAATCAGGGTCCACTTATCCTGCCACACAAAGGGTAATAATGTTAAGGGAGGTGAGCGGGGGTGGATGGGGGTCAGAGACTATGTGTCTGTTTTAAAATTACAAGTGTCAGCATTTCATACAACCAGCAGCGTAGACTGGAGGCTGAGGTCTCCCTCCCAGGCCCCGCAAATGGAGCTCACAGTGAAAACTTCCTATTGGCAGCAGACTTTGCTCTGCAGATAAGCCTGCGGGGGGTTATGCGCGCTCATCCGCTGCGTATGTGAGCGTTACTACCTTGACGCTTTATCAAATACACACTCGCTGAAAGACACGTGATCGGATTAGTGAAATTGAACTACTCAGCCTTAAAAAATAAATACATGCTGATAAAGACATCCCTTGAAGTCGGACTTAAAAACAGTTACAGAGGTCATCTACACCTTATCGTATTAAGATGAATTAAAGGTAAATGTGACATGTATCGGACGGAAGCTGATGGACTAACAGGACATTCTCTGAATATTTGTAAACAAAGGATTACCTTGGTGGAGTTACATGAGTGGCTATAAATACAAAGTCATCCCCTTAAACTGTGGAGACTGCCCGCTGTTGCCACAACTTCAGCTTAAGGTAAACCTCTGACTCTGGCAAGTTATTATGTGTCTGACCACGTAAACTGTTTAAGTGAAAGTGAGAGTGCAAAGCACGACGCTCTCGGAATGCGTCATCCAACAGGACGGGCTCTGGGCCAGTAGCGCCTGCAGCTCCCACTTCTGAGGAGCAAAATCCGACGCGGTCAGTGATTCCTCAGATCGGCAAAACCGCTGATGATGAAAGGACGTCTCCAGCACCGTGACCATCCCACTCAAACACAATTCCTCTACAGCAGAGTGAAGGCAAATGACCCCTGTGGCCTTTAACGCAACACAAAACAAACGGCATTGGGAATTATTTCTGTGAGGCGGTCAAGTGCCATGGGACGAGCAGGCTTTAGGTCAACGTGTGTCTGCTGGAGAGTCAACTCGTGTGAACATGGCCCTGCTTACGTCTGGAGCATCTGCTGTATATTTAGTCAGACCTCTGCCAGACACAAGTGTCACACAACCAGAACAAAGCTGACTTAATTCCTCTGTGAATGGCTGTTAACATGCATGACATTTTTTTTTTTTTAGGATGAGTTAAGCATAAAAATGTCTATAAATAAATGAGTATATGTGCCGGAGTGTTACAGAGAAGACATGCATATGTTATCTCATTACAGCCGCTGCTAGCAGGGTAAAGCGGGGCTCTGTATTTGTCTGCAGACATGTCTGTGCTTTCACCAACGCAGGCATCATGTTGTGGTCAGGATGGATTTCTGTCACAACTCTGATGCAGGAATAATTCAAAGCACTTCAGTTCAGCCTGCGAATGGTTCTGCTCAGACTGAAAAGTCGTATTAATAGTGGAAACAAATGATGCCTTCTGCTCTGTGGGACATAATGTCAAAACAAATTATTTCTACAGAATTTATATGAATTTTTTTAACAAGTGTGCAGATTCTGTTTGTTAATGTTCTGTACGTTTTGGTTTCCAAACCAATTTAAACAACTGGTAACAGAAAAGAAATAGGAAGCCCTATGTGTGGGTGATTTTAACAGCTCTACGTTTTCACAGCACATCCACATACAGACATACAGCCAGTAAATAAAACAAGGTGACGGTTTGATCAATCAGCAGCTAATCGATGAGTAAAGATTTACACACCCTTTTAGAGACAGATGAGACACTTATAATGTTGCAATTTGACTTTGCAAAGGCGTGTTAGGTAATACTTTCATTTACATTTTTTTTTAAGTAGCATAAATTCTTCTTACAATTATACATTTTTTCACAACTGCTTAAAAATCCAATGATTTACCCTGTATGTTGATAAAGGTTTTATCTACAACATGACAGGCACAAGTATACATTAAAATAAAGAATTTCTTCATGTCCAAGGACCGTATGCATCAGCCATGGTCACAGCAATGAAGTCATATGCAACACAAAGAGCTCGCTTTAACAGGACCACTTAGAAATGTGGCTCTAGCTGTTTGATCGCTATGCTGGTGCTGGTTACCATGGGAACGTGAAGGCGCACTAGCAAAAAAGATGTATGATGTAGGCGGTGGACTGCAGGCAATCAGGACAACCAACCTGAGAGCAGAGCAGCAAATGATAAGACAGGATGTAATCCAGCCAGCGTGGCCATCGGCCGGTCACTTTGCAGCCACTGCAGACTGCAGCAAGGCTCACGTGCACGTGCACGGGCAGCACGCGCTGCCTCTAAACTTTAACTCTACAAAAGGTCCTACGGTGAATTTTTCCTTTAATGGGTGTCCTATGATGCATTCCTTCCTCTGTGGCTTAATCAGCTGCTCATTTCCCCTCGCTCACTGACAACAAGCGCGGCTACGTGCCGTGTGAGCATCAAAGCATGTCTGAGTGGGCTTTAAACTATTCAAAGACATGAAAAAGCTCAGGGCTATAAAAGTGCACTCATCAGCAAACTTCCAGCATCTGTTCCCATTTGTGTGTCTATAACATAATCCAGTTTGGAAAATGCTCGGGATTATCTTTAGATTTTCTCACTTTTTCTTTGTGTTTCAACCAGTCCTTAGACAATCTCTCCGCAAAAACATATGTAGGCTTTTGTTAATGCATCTGTAGTGTTTCCAAAACCAATTTGAGCACAATATGATGAGTTTAAAGCCTTAAAGATTTAGAGGTTTCTTTTATGTAGCAGCTTAAAAAAAAAATCAGGGATCGGTCCATCTCAAAGAAGAACTTGAACAGTGCTGTTCAGTCCACAGGACCACACTGTTTTCTAAGCCAGCTGCTGTACATGATAAGAGATTGTTGCAGTGTTCCTGTCTCATTGTTCAGCGCACATCACCAGTGAAAAAGATATCACAACAGAGGAATATTCTTTGCTCATCAAGACATATCTGCTGGCACAGAGCAATGATTACCATCTAGATTTTGTCCGATAGTTGTGGCCCCTGAATGAGAGTGCGCCCGTATTTTGTCTGAGAGTCAAAAACATTTCTAGATGCAGGCAGAGACAGGACTGACATGTACCTCACTACTGCTGATTTGACCGCATCGTGAACGTCCCCACATAAGAGGCAAAACCATATGGAAGGCAGACAATGAGGGAGCCAATTTGCAACCTTTTGGCCTGCGCGTCTATCCCCGTGGGTCTGCAGGAAGACGGGCTGTGTGACAGGTCCTGGGGGTTACTTACACCACCACAGCTGTTGCAGCTCCCACAGGGAAGTCTCTGGGGAGCGCAGAGGGCTACTGCAGCTTCACACAGATTAACCCGAGGGCGCACCGGGACCATCAATGAAAACACTCACACGCACAGGCAGAGGTCACATATCATGCTCTGGTTTGATATTCATTCAATAAGATGGACTCGTGTTTTGTTGCATCACCCTCTGCGCTCTACCGCTGCCAAACAACTTTTAAATCATTCACCATCTACATATACATTCATGCTTCTTTTTGATAGAATACATTCCTTCATAAATTGATGAGATAAAGAGACTGAACTAAGACATGATTCCCAGGAACAACAGACAGTAAATCGTCATTATTTTCCTTGTACCTTAAAACTTTACATAAAGCATGAATCAAATGTGTTTTTTATCCTGAATAGAACAGGAAGACCCAGTGAATGAAATGTAACTCGCAACTGAAGGTCAACGCAGCAATTACCCAAATAACATATGGACACGTTTGACATTCCAGTTGTAAAAATGCTGGTTTTCCTGAGCAAACTATCAACTAACTAACTAATTCCCATATCACCACTCCAATTATGACAGTGGTGACCTATGAGATTTTTCACTGGCATTATGCTAAGCCATCAATAATTTTAAATAAAGATAACATTTGTAACTTTGTATGAAACCACTGCCGTTTTTTCACCATTATCAGTCTGATTGAAAATATACAATAAATGGTTTCCAAGGTGCTGTGCTCATAGTAACAGTTAATCACAGGTAAAAATGTGTGTAGCATGCGTAACACATTGACAGCACAGATGTCATTACACTGTAAGTAACATGCTTCTCTAATTGGGAATACTATTTGCTCACCTCATGTCATATTTGCTCACCTGCTGATGAGATGACAGCTATTCAGCTTTAATAAATACATCTGTCATTTTCAGTTAGCCGTGCACAATACTGATGAGCCAGCATTCCCCCTCTAATAACTCAGTAGAGAAGATGACAGAGATTGTGCATGGTGCCAGCAATAACAGATCAGAGCTCTGTGGTCCTGTTTTCAAAGTCTCTCACCA